ATACTCGTAGCTGGAAAGGAAAACAAGTTTTCACTTTTATATTTTGTGAGTTACTCGGGTTGCGCCTCCTCCAATGCGATGTGGATTGGGGTTGGGGCTGTTGCTGTTGCTGTTTGCTAGTGGTGGCATTCATTTCCAAACGCGATTCAATTGCATTTCGCTGTTCGTTTCATACTTCATGCATAGTTGGGGTCTGGTCTGTCGCTTGGGCAAATTGTGGCCATAATGATGAATTGCATAAGCCGGAATCGTAATTACAATCACTGACTACGACTATACAGGTGACTATCTTGTGCGCGTATCTTCCTCTCCCATGCCACGCACTACACAGCTGCTCATTCGCATTTGGGCAAAAATAATGCAAGCAACAGTAGATCAGGCTTTCCAGTGCACTCTTCCCCCTCCCCACACGGCTCGGCTCTCTAGCTGTTTCGCAATCTCTCTTCAAGTTTCAATTATTAATAGAGAAAAGATGGCAAAGATAAGATTGATTTAGTGCCTTTCCTTAAATATTCATTCAATATTATTTTTCTATTCTTGGGTTACAGTTATCAATCATTCTTCTCTTTGCACACACACCTTTCCAGGAGCCGAAATTACGGTAGTTCTCTGCCTTTCTCTCTCTCTTTCTCGCTTAATTCAGGAGCTGCGCCTTGGGCTTATCAACCTCCCAAAGCACTCCACAACACAAACTCTACACAAAACATGACCATATATGGAGACAAACATTGTCACACACAACAAATGGAATGGCTATTTGTGGTCACACAACAAAAATGCGATGATTACGTATCAAGCACATGGCCGACGACGCCCGCCCCTCCTTATTCGCACTCTTCACGATACAATTATTTCACCCCTTCTCTCCGCTCTCTAGACAACAGTCAAAAAAAGAAAAGAAAAAACTTTTCATTCATTCACTCGACGCCTGTTTTGCCCGTTACGCTAGGGAAGAGAAAGGGTATTGTCAACTGTGGCATTGAGTTGGGTGTCTGGAAATGGGATTTTTTTTTGTTCGGGATTATAACCAAATTTACAATCAACAAACATAGTTTCTTATCTTTTAGTAAAGGTGTTCCCTAATGCCTTTCCCTACATCTAACCAAGCTTGTCACATTTTATAAGTTTTTATCCATAAAAGACAAATATACGGAAGACTTTTTAAAGCCCTTATTCCTAAGACATACCACAATGATTTATGAGAGAAGTACATAAATATGTTTGAAGAACTCTTGCACTGAACCTTTAATCTCAATCAACACGATAAGGTGTGTGTGGTAGACTGGTTTGAATATGGGTTAAGTTTGATTGGCTTATCTTCCGGAATGCTCTTTGCTGCTTATATGCCCCTCCAGGTTAGGGTAAATCTATTTCGACTGCTCCCCATTTGGATTTCCTTTTTGTTCTTGCTCGCATTGATATTGTTTCTGTGTTTTGTGTGGCCTTGCTAGTTTTTTTTTTGCAAAAATCTAATCCAGAAATGGGAAGCAGAACAACCAGAAATGGGAGTGAGTGACTGAATGTGTGTGTTTCCCATGGAACTTACATGTGTGCTATGATGCTATGTAGTTGACCTAATCGTAATTTGAGCAAACAAAGCACTTAAGCAAATGGAAATATACGCGCCCTATTCGTATAAATAACAATTGCGATTCATTTAAATGTTTTACAATTCGCAGAGGGGAGCTCTTTTTGGCGTACGAAATTTAAATCACTTTCATTGTCTAGTTCAAGTTATAATGGAAACATCTGTACAATTTTTTATGTTTTGTGGGGATTTAGGAATGCAGGAATTAGCTCAAGTTTACTCTATAAAACATTTTGGGACTTTAAATTTCTTCTTTTATTTTATTTTCATTGTTATAATAACATCTGCTCAGTGTTGACATTTGAACGCCCCAAATTTAAATGCTTTGCAGCTTTCAAGCTTTATTTTTGGCACAAATAACATCTGGTTGCTGTTGGGTTTTGTTTTAGCTGTTCATCCAGTTTTATTTGCGTAATAGTCACAATTAATTGTACTTAATTTCGGCTCTAAAAACATCTGTTCAATGCTTGATTTTGGGACTCTCAAAATATGCTAACATTTCATTTTGGATTGCCTTAATATGCAAAAATATTGTAATTTTTGTTGGTGGAATAAAAGTGGGCTTTAAAATATGGGAGCTCACAAAAAACGTATCTTTTAAATGTGGAATTCTTTTGATGCATTAAAAATTCATGTGACAGAAGCTTTTCGCTGTTCCATCAATCAAGCAGAGATTAATAGCAGGCAATCAGGGCTACTGTTTTGGAGGACAGACTCCCCCCCATTCGGTACCCATCCGGGGCACTTTATCAATCATTAACCAAGCCAACCCAAATGGGCGACAACCCATGCCATGTGATATGCAGAGGTCGGGGCACTGGAGGCTAATAATCCGGAAAAAACACAAATTGTGCAGTAATTAGAAATTCATTGATAAAAATGTACATGAGCATGGGACAAAAACGATTCGATTTTTTGGGTAGATTGTGATATGAGCGAAAACGGAGTGAGTGTGAAACGAAAGGGCACTCGGGGATGGATGCCAGAGGCCAGGCCACGACTCTTTCACTCGCACCAATACAGCGGCATGCATGGGGGCGAGTGAGAAAAACGAGCGAATGAGCATGCTAATCACGAACACGACGAAACAAGCACAACAAAAACGAAAAAGAACGGTACACATATACCGTATACGCCCGCGCACACACACAGAAGTAACTCGATTGGGGAACAACTGGACTGCGGTTCGGTGCTCTCTCTGCTGCTGCTGCCAGCCGTTTTGCCTTCTGCCCTTTGCTTGGCGCCTGTTCAAATAAGTTTCAAATTTTGACAAATAAAACCATGGTTTTGTAATTTACGAGCATTATTTTCATAATGATTGAGTGGCATGGCCGCTCTGAGTGGAGTTCACACGAAAGAGTGACAGAAGAGCAGCAGAGCAAAGGACTGCTGTACGTTTTCTCGCAGTACTTCTTTCACTCTCTCTCGCTGACTTTGTATGCCCTTGTAGAAGGGATACTTGAAGTTTCGAAAGGCGACCTAAGACCAAAACTAATATCAAATCTTCTGTAATTTTCCATGGAACGATGCACTTTCAAGGGTATCAAATCAAACACAGAATTCCTTTCATATTTATCTTCTTCTGCTTCTTTTTCTCACTCAGCCGCAATAAAAACGGGATTATGTACAAGTATGTTGTTTTTGGTTTGTGAGTATGCAAGAGAGTTATGTGAAAGAGAGAGAGAGAGAGAGAGAGCAATGTCGGGCGTAGGGAGCCCTTACTGCTGTACGTTGTTGTTGTTGGTAGAGGGTTGGTTGCTTGTGGCGAAAAGCATGCAGGATAAAGAGAGGCAAAAAGGATGCAGGCTACAAAATAGAAAGAAGGGGGAGAAGGGTGTGACGGCTGCACACTGCACGTGGAAGGGGGAACGACTCCTAAAGAAGCTGCAACAACGACGGGACACTGTCTAGACGTTTGATTACCGGGGCGCAGCAGAGAGTCACAAGCACCACCAGACATTGCTCCGCACAGTGTGCCCCAAGCTACCATTAACGCTGGGGCGGGGGTCTCGGGGTCTTGTCTAATCATAATTGCCCGATTTTTTAGACCATTTTATGGGCTTTTTTTCGGGTTGTGCTTAAGACCGTCGTAAAATGTTCTCTTATCAGCTTTTACTTTCACATGCAGTGCTTGATGACGACACATGGTCTATGGTGTGTGACAGATAATGGGATAAGTGCCAGACAATTAGGGAGGAAAATACATTGCACATGGGATGGTTAGTTAAGGGAATGCCCTGTTGACCGATCCGGTTTGGAATCTCTAAGGACTGGTAAACTCTTTAGAAATCAGGTTTGAAACAGGAAACCAGCCTCTTAAAAATCCGGTTAGGGATTGTTGGGAAATAAGGATAATCTTTCTTGAGTTAAGGGCTGTTCGTTTTCAGAATAAATCAGGTTTAGTATTTTCAAGAGAGAGAGAGAGCAATCATTAGAAAATATTGTTAATCGTTTAAAGGCCCTTTGGCAGTAATTAAGATTATCATGAAATAAACTAAAAACCTTTCTTCTCAGCATTATGTTTCTTGGCGCATAAAAAAGCTAAAGCAACTTCATCGATCAATCATCATTTGGCATCTCCAGCATTCCAGCAGTTTTTGCAGTTCCTAAGAAATCAAGCTGCCTCCTGCTTCAATCCGGTTTCCAAAATAAAAGTTCTGCCTAAAATCGCATTCCATTTCGCCACACACGATCAATTCTCAAGGTAATTCGATCAAGATGCCCAGTCCCAGTCCCACGAACAGGAAAAAAGGCACGTAATCTCGTTCAGTTCCGAGGGTTGGCTGGGAATCTCTGTGTCGTTTTCTACCTGACTTCATTCGACATTTTGCGCGCATTATTATATACGACACAAGGCAGACATTTCTTTCAATTTCGTCACAGTGCATTAATCAGCATTGTGTTGGGCCATTGTTTCGCTATTTTTTTTCTTCACACAATCCCATAAGTAATGCCTGTTATTTCCTCATGGAAGTGCAGCAGCCTGATGACATGGGGCCTTGGGAATTGCTCAATTTTCGTGTGCAACACCAACCACTGTGCGGCATTTTCAGGAGCTGCCTGTCGCCAGTCAAGGACTCGGGATGTCGCCTGTGCACACACTCACTCCATTTTATTTTTTTTACACTCTTTTTTGTTGCTTTGCCAAAAGGTCAAAACGGCGCAAATCAAAAAACCCTGAATAGGAGCCTTGACTTTTGCACTTTGCCAAATGTTTTTGCCCAGAGGACATTGAATCGATGCAGGAGGAAAGGGCAGGGAGAATGGAGGAACCTTCAAAATGTCTGCACCTACACGGGCAATGGAGCGGGTGGGACCTATGGATAAATTGAAGTTCCAATAGATTGAAGGACACGCAGAAAGTTAAAGGGATGGAGGGACCGTAATTGAAAAACCATTGGAAAAAACTCACCACAGAGCCCAAATGCTTCAAGTGTTTTCGGTGTTTGTCTCTCCTCTCCACGTCCCCTTTGCTCGGTGGTGGGTAGAATAAATTGCGTTGTGTGGAAGGGAGAAGAGGATACTGGAATTCCAGAGGTCGCGTCGCTCTCTTTTGTGCTGTTGTTTTGATTTGTTATCCCGTTTTTGTTGTGGCGCTGTTTGTACTCTCAGCTGCTTTTGTTTGCTGTCCTGCTCTAACTTCCCGCTGTTTGTTGCTTCTGCTTCCAGATTCTGAGGCTCCGCACAGCTTCTGCGTTTTTTGTTCTCTCGCTTTCAGCTTCTCCTTCTGCACAGCTTATGTTTTTCGTTGATGCGTTTCCCTTTTGGTCTTTCTGCTTCTGTGTGGTTGCTGTTGCTTTTGTGTAATCCTTGGTTCGCTTTTGGCGCGCAATATTTTCGTGTCTCCCTCTCACACGCTGTTCTGCTTGTTGTTGCTATTGCTATTGCAAATACAATATTTTTCCAACACACGCGAAACCGTTTTGTTGTCGCTGTTGTTGCCGCAGTGATTGTTGTTTGTTGCTACTGCAATAATTTGCATTTCACGTTTCGCAGCATCGACTTTGACTTTGTTGCACAAACCGCACACCCAAACACACAGAGAGAGACACAAAAACAACAATTGGAGGAAGCTGTTTTTGCTTTTGGAGCGGGCGTCTTTTGCTACCAACAAGATGCTGATTCGGTGGAGTCTGCGATTGTTGATTTTCGTCGCAACCAAATAAACGACTCTTTTGATTTCTGTTGACGAAATCACAATTAAAATCCTCTCGAAATGAAAAGCCGTAAATAATTGAAATCACAACGATTTTGCCCGCGTGTTTTCAAAATTGTTTGCTGTCCAAACGTAAACAAACGACTTTTTAACTAGAAAATTCACTACAGCTTCGTCAGTTTTTGGTTTTTATGATATTTCTATTTTTGTGCAAATATCAATATATTTTGATTATTTTTGTGGAATTTATCAGCGATGTTTCTGAATTCAGAAAGAAATACGACACTCTTTTTAGTTATTCGCGGCGAAATGGCGCGCACCTCACCGTCCGACGTGTTCAAAGTTTTTTTTTGTTTTGCTGATTTTGGTTGTTGTTTTTCGGGTCCAGTGTGACCACGTAATTATCGATCAAATATAACGACAGACCATCAAAAATATACCGAAATATACCCATGCATTTTGAAAATATACTGTAAATATACAGTGAATCTTAAATTAATTTCCTCGATCTTGATGTTCTACTTAATATTACTATCTAGTTAGGAGTCTCCGCGCTAAAACTTTAATTTTATCCGATTTAATAATCAATTCTTCACAAGAGTGGCTAGTTTTCACGACATATGTTTCCAAATTAAGTTTAAAACTAAAAAGGTCAACTAACAAAGAGAGCGTTTTAGCTTTTAATAGGATTTGAATGGTATGATGAAATCATTAAATATACCATTATACAATATACAATGAACTCACCTTCGTGGTTAAAATATCCTGAAAAATATATATAATATACTTTAAATGGTCACCGTACTAGGGTCGTGAAAAAGCTAAGTTTTCGATTCAAAATATGGATGCGAGCGCGGTTCCCACTGTGAATTGGGGAATTTTTTGCTGTCAGTGAAATTCTCTCCGCTCTTCCGTTCTCAATTTTGCGTTTAAAATATGAGCGCTAAAATATCCCGGCAACATACCAATAATAATATACGTTCACACTCCCAAACATACCGTAGATATACCGGATCGTAAATAATTTTTCTCGAATTTGATGTTCCATTTGATATTGCCAGCTAGTTAGGATTCCTAGAACCAACACTATTGTTTTAAACGATTGATGAATTAATGCTGCATTGGATTGGCTGGTTGTCATGACTTCTTTCTATTAGATTGCTTACAAAAAAGATCAACTGAAAAAAACAACAAAACGTAACAAATGTATTGTCTCTGGTGTATGCAACAGATGCCGCCCCTCCAATAAAGGTCATCAAACAGTTTGAACAGCTTTTCTGCTAAGTTAACAGAGCGTCGAAAAGCTAATCCGCAAAAGCTCCATGCTTATGTTAATGTCTACAATTTCAGTTATGCGCTCGCTCTCTCGCCCAGCTGACGGTTGTATTAACTTGGCTTCCAGATTTCCGAGTGGTGTCTGGCTTGTGGCTTCTTGAAGCAGATTGAAAGACAAACAATTTTCGACTTGTTGTCAGCGGATGCGATGCTCTGCCGTGTGTCGCTCAAAACAATAACATTCAGTGATTTTTACAGAAATTAGTTTTGTGTGTGGAAAATATTTGCAGAAATTTCTGTTGGAGTTCCTTAACCTTCGAATTGATTCATTTTCGGAACTCCTTGACTCCCCCACCCCTTTGTCGTTTAGTGTCCAGCGAAAAGGGGCGCCAGAATGGTGCGATGGAGTGCCCGGTCCCGTCGGGCGGCGCGTCAGGACAAGGTTGAGCTGCTCGCCAGCAACAACAGGGTCAGTGCCGGCGAGGATGATACATCCGATAACGGTAGGTTTTAACGGTACATTAAGCTGTCGAAACGCTTTGTCATTTACGATTACTCGATTCCAGCGGCCTTTCGCCACTCCACGGACCTCTCCGACCACGACGAGATCTTCTTGAAGGGCCTGCTGCTCAGCAATCCCAGCACACCCCACAGGGAGCTGCTGGTAAGTGGACCAGAACACGAATCACATTTATTTCTGACCCACTTTTCGCCCTGGCCCGTGCTCCAGCGTGAGCATCTGTTCAATAAGAAAAAATTGCTCATACGTTTTCTTCTTTGCTTCCTCCATACACACAGTTTTCCATATAATTTCCACACACATACAGACAGACAGCCAGGCAGCCCCACATACAGGGGGCAATCTTTGTTTACTTTATCGATGGCATTGCATGCTGATTTTCGGTCTAGATATTACAGTTCCTCTGTGTGTGTTTGTGTTTGTTGCTTTCTTTATTACATCATTTTCGTCAGCGGAGGGGCATGTCCATGGCACAATCCACTAAAGGGTGTCGGCAGCAGTACACTGACTTCTCTCCGCACTGTGTCTTTTTTTATGGCCACACATTAACACCATCTCTTGTTATTCTTTTCGCACTTATTTTCGCACTAAACTTGACCCCCTAGAGATGTTTATTAGATCATTATTGTGTGATATAATAGTGGACTTGCTTGACCCCAAAGAAAATGTCTACAAGTTTCGCAGTAAAATCTGCATAAAACATGGAGCATGGCAGCTTAATCAAATAGTAAATACTTTTTGTGGATTGTTTACGCGAATTGCCTGGGAAAACAATAAAATAAATGATTGCCAGAGAGTTATAAGAGTTTCGGGAATGTGTCTGAATATAAAACTGAATATTGCTGGAGGGTTAATCAATTTTTGCCTTGGAACATATTGAAAAAGGTCTGCCCCAGAAATCTGTTTACCAGAGAGCTATCTTTGTACTTCTTATTGATTGCTTCTTTCTCTAATTATTGCACTTAAGATCTAATGATTTCATTGGTTTCCCTTAATTTTCCTCCTTTAACCCAACTTAAGCACGTATGCCCCTTAGCCTTCACTTAGCTTTGTGGAAATCCAAAACAAACCACGAAATCCAGCAAAACCAAAACCACGTTAATAATGAAAAGCGACATCGCGTGACGCGGATAATTAGAATTCCACATTTTCCTAGGTGGAAATTGTTTGTTGCTGTTGCTGTTGCTGTTGCTGTTGCTGTTGAGAAAGGCAGTGAAAGTAATTAAAACCACAAGTCACGAGATAAGAAAATATGAAATGTCAAACACAAACACAAACACAAACCCCAAATACTACCCAATCTACCATCATTATTGCTCTCTCAACACTCTTCGAGCACTCCCCTAGCGTATGCAGATTACATAAAATACGGCACAAGTCGTTGGAGTCTCAACTCTTTAATGTCCAACGCCCCAAAGAAGCTTTGTCTGCGCGCGTGTGTGTGTGTCTGTGTGTGTGTCTGTGAAGGAAAAACCGGTTTGGGAAACATATTTCTACGTAAATAACACATACCTGTGGTGGCTTTATGTTACCTGCTTCTTCCAACGATGCACAAAAAGCCCAATACTTGTTGGCCTACTAATGCAGCAGCCAGCCTGCGGAGAGAGAGAGAGAGCAAGATACATAAATGTAGATGCAGAGAGAGCGTGAAAAAAGCTTCACAGAGTGCGAGAAACTGTGGGAGATCTTCAGCTATTAACGAGCAGAGCTTTAAAGACTCCGCAAGACACACACAAAAAAGATAGTTAGATTTGAGTTCACGAAGAATGAAATTTTAAAGAGATGCTCTTCAGGGATTTCTTTCGGTTTAAGTTTTCATTATTTATAGCTGTAGCTGTAGCTGTAAATTCATATATAAATCTTGCCTGTTTGCACCCCTGCTTGTATTTCGAATTAGTGAGCATCTTCAAGTCGATCATATCCCACTTACTCGCAAGTCACTGTTAAAGCTAACATTCAACTTAAACTGCTCTCAGAAAGTGTGAGAGAGCACAGTAGCGCCTGCTTAAAGTCTCTGTTAAACAACAGCGCTAGCGCCTGTTAACCGTACAGTTGTAACGTAAGCTTCACGCGTTAGCTTTGCGCACGCACACCATCACAGCTCGAAGCACGCTCTGCGTCGTTCTCTTGGCTACTTGGAAACTAGCGAGCGGGGCCAGCTAGCCCTAGCTCTGTGCCGTACAAATGAAACTCATGTGAGTCAGATACTTTTAAGCAGTACTAAGGTGAGGTTGGATCCACAGAAAACGCGCGCGCTACGGTCCGTTGGGGTTCCGCTTCGAGCTGGTTCGATTCAGTGAGCATTTGCTGTGCTTGTGTGTGTGAGCGTGGCTTAAACGGGGCGGCATATGCAACAGTTAGTTCGCTCTCTCTCTCTATCTTTGAACGCGTCTGGTGTCCATTTCGTTTACAATTTGTGCGTTTTAACCAAGAAAAAGGTGACAATTCCAACAAGTACCAGCAACAGATCAATAATAAACAACCAAAATAGAAAACTAGAGCACATCGGAATTGCTTTTGTTGTGTCCAATTACTAGCAACTGCCTTGGAAACGAGAGCTTTTATGTTAGCCAAGTTAAGTCGTACTCTCACGAACATATATTGATGACGTAGTCGCGCTGTGTACACACCCCCCCGTGCAAAGAATTGTGTAACCTGGCCAACAAACAGCAGTCTTAACTGTGTTTTGGCATTTACAAAAAAAAACAAAAAAAAATATTCAACTCTCACACAGAGACTCACACCTGAACACACACCAACACACTCGCTCTCTCTCTCTCTCTCTCCGCGCTTTTGTGCTCTTCTTCGCTCTTCTTGGCTTTAAGCGCTCGCGCGTTTTGGGAGTGGCTCCGGCTCTACCCGAAAAAAAAACCAAGAAAAAGTCAAGACGAGAAAAAAAGTGTAATTGAAAAACGAAAGGCGCTTCCAATCAACCATTAAACTTATGGAATAAATGTGTTTCAATTAGCAATGTGAACCGCAGGGGGAAATTTATAGTACAAAAATACCCATAGATCGAATTTCCCAAGCAAGGCCTTGGTCAAAAGAGAGCGACAGAGAGAGAGGTACAGTGAGCGAGAGACGTTATTGTTTACGAGTTGTTTTTGGTGTGTGTTTAATTAACACTTTGCTTAATTAGTAATCACCTGTTGAAACGGTTAAGATGTTTAGCTGCTTTTTTTGTTGTTGTCTAAAGCAATTTGCGCTGCTGTCGTTGTCATGACAAACCCCATTTGGTAAGAGAGGTGAAAGCCCTTTACTTGCTAGCAGCAACAACAACAACAAACAGAAGCAGAAGAGCGACAGGAATGTAAAGAGAGCCGAAGCTTCTGATACTCTTTCAGTCGCAGTGTAGAATCCTTTTCGGTTGAACTTTTACCAAATTTAATAAATTTTAAACTCATTTAACTATCAGATATATTTATAGTAGCACTCATTATATTCGTTAACGTTTAAAATCAAACCCTGAAAAGGGTAACAAACAAACGGTACGGGCAGCAAGAAACACGTAACGGTAGAGCAAAAGTCTGCAAAGATATCAATGACAATTGTCGCCTGCATGCTCGTATTCCGGTGTGGTGCGGGTGCTGCGTGTGTGTGTGTGTGTACACGAGGTTGAGGATTATCTGTCGCGTGTCTCTTTGTGTGGTGGGGCTTCTTTGCTCTTTTCACACGGAAGAAAAGCTGAAGAGCTGAAATACTGAAGACTGAAACACGATCTTCGCCAGACAAAAATGTCTAAATAAATAAACAGAAGTCGGAGATGGCTGTCGCGACGTGTGGGAGCATCAAGGCAATTCCAATGTCCCTTGTCCAATAGGAAGAAAAAGAGTAAGAGAAGAGGAAGTGCATAAGGGGAAGAGCTAAAACGTATAGACAGCGTGAAGCTGATTGGAGGAGCAGAGAAATGGCAAAAGTTGCGCTGAATTTTGTAAAGGTTTATTTAATAGAAGTCCAAAAGAATATTTTTGTACGCGTTCTGTAATTTTGTTTCTAATTAGTATCCCATGAAGCTGGCTCTTTCTTGACTACAGAATAATTTTATTTTTTCAATACAAAATCAATAAAAGTTCATGGCAAGAATGTAGCTACTTACAGCAAGTGCAATTGACCATTCCCTCGCCTCTTAATCAACTGCACTATAGACTATCCCCCCACACTCCCCGCCACACTGTTATTTTTCAACAAAAAGAGAAACAGCGAAAGAGAAAGAGAAAAGATATATGTATGTATGTACCCAGCCGATACACGTATTCGTATAAATATTGCATGAGGTTGACTCAGAGACGCGTCTCGTCTTCCCCGCAACGTGGGCGGAAACTGCAGAAAAGGGGAACAAAAATAATATATACAAGACGCAAGGCAGGAGGCGCCGTCAACGAAAGCAAATTCCGAACACACACGAGAAAAGAATCAAATAAAAGTGTGTGTGTGTGTGGGGGGGGGGGGGGGACAAAAGAAAAGAATAGCAAAAGCCGGAAGAGACAAATGATGTGCAATTAAAGCAGAAACAAAAATTCACTTTTTATGCCTAGACGACCCAAATTGTACCCAAAAGAGCGACCCAATTTTTGACCTAAGACTCGAAATATTTTGTTGGCTTTTGGCGAAAAGGTCACTGGGGTTAAATGGGGATAGGGCAGGGCTGGATACAGCTTCTCCAAAAAAGAGCTTCAGCCAATTAAATCACTCACTCAATTAACGCACAGTGAATAAATGGAGTGGCTGGATGCGAGACAAGACTTGACCTAGGGCAGGCACGCCCCAGTCCACACTCGTAACTTAATTAGTTGTACATGACAAATGTTGAATGCTCGAAATTGTGTGTTTATTGCAGCTAAATCCCACAGAGCCACAGCCAGTGCCCGTCTTTCTGCCCGCTCATCTCAACAATAAGCCAATCTGTGACGATATTATACGTAAATTTTCACCCTCCAGGCGATTGGAGTCGCGAGAGCTAGCTAAACTATTGGCCCAACCTCATTTTCGTGTAAGTAAAAGAGAGATTATTTCAGCCATAAATATTTAACGCCCTTTCGGCCCCACTTTCTCTTAGGCTCTCTTGCGTGCCCACGATGAGATAGGATATTTGTTTGAGCAACGTTTAAAAGCTGCCGGCGGCTCAACCACCCAACTAGAACTCGCCAGTCAACGCCCAACCGGCACCTATCTCTACACGGAGGATATACTGAAAAGCAAAATGCCAGTGGAGACCATCAAGATGGTGGGTCTGCGTCGTGATCCCAGCAAACCCCTGGGCCTCACCGTCGAAATGGACGAGTACAAGCAGCTGGTGATTGCGAGGATTCTAGCAGGCGGTGTCATTGATAAGCAGAGCATGCTGCACGTCGGTGATGTTATACTGGAGGTGAATGGCACGCCCGTGCACTCGCCCGACGAGCTCCAGGTGGAGGTGTCGCGCGCCAAGGAGAATTTAACCTTGAAGATTGGCCCCAATGTGGATGAGGAGATCAAGAGTGGGCGCTATACCGTGAGTGGGGGACAGGTAAAACAGAACGGCATCGCGGGCCTAGAGGCGGGCAAGAAGCTGACGGTAAGTTTTGTGCATGTTTTTAGAGTTTTTTTTGGGGAGTTTTCGCCAAAGGCTATTTAAATAGTAAGGATGAGTAATGCTCTGAAGATACTTTAAAACTGCCAGTTGGTCATCTTACTATTTAGTTTGTCCTTGCTTGCTCCCAGCATTTTCTGCTTTTTTGCATGGATTTTTGATTAGCTACTTCCCATTTTTGCTATTATTTCAAACAAAATTCAACCAATTTTTGAGTTAAGAGTACAGAAATAGGAACATTATAGCATGCCCTATACAGATACTTCCATTCACACAGTCCTCAAATTGAATTGAATAAATAAAACGAATAAAAGCTAATCTTAGAACAAAAAGTCGCACTTCAAAATTTCTCGAATCACTTGCAACTAAGTAAGTAAATCTTGGCTTAAACTACTCTAAAAGCTATAAACAACAATGATAAATGTTTAATATGTTTATTCGCAGTGCTACATGCGCGCCCTGTTCACATATCATCCCTCGGAGGACTCTTTGCTGCCATGCAGGGACATTGGCCTGCCCTTCAAGTCGGGCGACATTCTGCAGATCATCAATGTCAAGGATCCCAATTGGTGGCAGGCCAAGAACATCACTGCAGAATCGGATAAAATTGGTCTAATACCGTCACAAGAGTTGGAGGAGCGCCGCAAGGCGTTTGTGGCACCCGAGGCGGATTATGTGCACAAAATTGGCATCTGCGGCACGAGGGTGAGTGCTTCATTGGAGACCCAAAAATAAACACAAATAAGGTCAATCCCCTAATCCCCTAACAGATCTCCAAACGAAAGCGCAAGACCATGTACCGATCCGTGGCCAATTGTGAGTTCGACAAGGCGGAACTTCTCCTCTATGAGGAGGTGACGCGCATGCCGCCATTTCGCAGGAAAACTTTGGTACTGATTGGCGTCTCCGGTGTGGGCAGACGCACGCTCAAAAATCGCTTGATCAACAGCGATGTGGATAAGTTTGGTGCAGTCATTCCACGTGAGTCGAGCAGCACCTTGCCTGAACACAGAAAACATATTTTAAATATTCTCTTCCCGCAGATACGAGTCGCCCGAAGCGCGCCTTGGAGGAGAATGGCACCAGCTATTGGTTCATGGATCGCGAGGAAATGGAGGAGGCTGTCAAACAGAATGAATTTCTCGAATACGGCGAGCACAATGGCAATCTCTATGGCACCCACTTGCAGTCCATCAAGGATGTCATCAACAGCGGTCGCATGTGCATCCTGGACTGTGCACCAAATGCTCTCAAGATCCTACACAATAGCCAGGAACTGATGCCATTTGTTATATTCGTTGCGGCACCCGGCATGGAGCAGCTCAAGACAATCTATGCCGATCGCCGGGCAACCGGTTCCAATAGAAATCTATCCGTAGGTTACCCGTACAGCTCCCCCCATAGGCAACCTTTTAATTATGTTTTGCGCCTTTGACTCCACAGTTTGATCGTCAAAGTTCCATACGCTTCAGCTCCCGGCGTGCACGTACGCTCGAATCGTTAGCATCGCTTTATGAGGTAAAGTTTGAGCTGGCAAGCCAAAGACGGGATCTAAATTTGTTACCACTCACACGCTCTTGTGCACACACCTGATCCGTAGGCCACACTTGTAGCCCTTTTAGATCTGTGCCTGAATACCCAAACATTGCTTAACACATACAATTTGTCTCACATTCACCCGCAGGATGATGATCTGGTGGCCACTGTGGAGGAGAGCAGCTTTGTGCAGCGCAAGTACGAGAAATATTTCGACATGGTTATCGTCAATGAGGACTTTGATGAGACGTTCCGTCAGGTGGTGGAGACACTCGATCAGATGAGCCACGAGGATCAATGGGTGCCCGTTAATTGGATTTACTAGACCATACAAATGTCTTCTTGCATTATGCATAAAATATAACATCTCCGCAGAATATTTCTCTACAGCAAACAGCTAATTTGTAGCCTAAGCAAAGTGTTCGTTCAACTCCAAAATTGTTTTATCTTTATGTATATATGCAATGCAATTCATTTTTTGTAACCATTTTTGAGCTCTCCTTTTGAGTTTCCCCTGCGTGAAATGTGCCCTCCGTTTATGCTTCGATTTAAGCCTAAGTTTACCTAACGAATTCGTCCATTTATAAACTACAAACTATATTATTTTGTTTAATTTATACAAAAAGCAAAAACAAATATCATTTATGCAATTTATAATGTTAAATACGAATCTCCTGAGTACAAGAAACCAATCCTTTCTGCCAATATTTCAGTTTAGCGTTTAGTTTTTTTGTGTTGAATAAAGTTTCGTAAGTGTAAAAGAAACTAATTAGCTAAATATTGAACTTGCAGCAACAAAATAAATGCATTTTTGGCTCAAAGAAACAAACAAAAGTCTTGGGAGCCTTCCTTTAATTTATTTTTTCTGGTGTAAATCGCTAGGCGTTCGTGCTTGGGAGTGTCTTAAAGTGTGCGTGAATTTTAGTAGATGCCCAGAGATTTCTCCACGACAGCGTGGGGCTGACGCATGTGCTCGTTGTACTCGGGCAGACCCAAAAAGTCCTCGAAGTCGATGCTCTCATTGCGTCCAGTCAGCACCTCATCCATAAAGTTGCTGGAAAACAAGGCACATTACCACCAGAAACAGATTTAACCCATGGCCCGCACTCACCTGGAGGGCAAGAAGGGCAAACGTCCAATCTGGCGTGCGGAATGACGCTCCATGCCCATCTTCAGTGGAATGCCCAGACCCTCGCGATTGCGCAGCATCTGCATATTGAGCGAATACTGATGCTCATGGTAGTTGGCCTCCGAGTCGCGCAGACGATGCACATGAGCCAGTTGATTGTAGCAGTTCTCCTCTGTGGGCATGCCCACTTTGCCGGAGGCATGGAGCACCGTCAGCTCGCTTGGCTGCACTTTCAACGATTGCTGATTCTAGGCGCAGAACATGCACTTTGTGTTAATAAACCATTTTGCAGTGTGGCACATGGCATTACTTACCATTTTGCTTCAAATTTGTACTCAATTTGAACAGTTTATATGGAGAATTTGAGAAATTTATAAAATTTTTGTTGAATGACAATCAAAAACCGAACAAGTGTGACCGTGGATTTATGAACAAAATATACCGCGGGAATATACCAAAATATACCTCACACTTCAAAAAAATATACCTTTACATTTTCTAAATTGACCGCACATGTAATTATATTATTTTTTTATATTATTATTTAATCACAACTACTATAATCAAAACATGTTTCCGTTTATTAACTATTGGAGGTCGTAAAATAATATTTACAACGACCGCTTATAAAAATATCGACCATTGCTGTAAGAAAACATCGACAAGACTTTTAACACGTTCTATAGCAGTTAGCTGCTGATGAAGAGCACAATTTATGTAGGCGCCACATGCAGAATTTAAATTGAGAGCAAAGAAATTAAAACATTGCACAAAAGCAATTGTTATTAAAAAACCAGTTAATATTGGAATTACATATACTTTTTTTTAATATTGCATCATGTATGTTTTTCTATTTAAATTTATTGAATTAGCATATTTAGCACTTTTTCACTGTGTGTTGTAGCAATTAGCTTGTGGTGGCGTAACAATTTGCAGTTGGCGGAACATTTGAATTTGAATCTATGATGGGAAGGAAGAGTGAGTCCTGCAAACTAAAATGCCAGAAATGGAGTCTAGTTGCAAAATAATCGACTCTAAAACTGATTTCTAACTGAGTCAGTTTTGATTTAGAAACACTTTTCCGTGCGTTTCTCTATGTAAATTCGTTTTATTAGCGTAGTTAGCACTTTTGTCAAGTGACGAACTTGAGTGTTGTGATTAATTACACCCTCGCCAGCATAGCGACACACAAAAAATATCAAAAACCACGCACATATGACGACTGTGGGGCACGGCTCTAATCAATTCAATCAACAAATCGAATCAAAGCTCCCCAAAAGCAGAAAAAACAAAAGCCAAATTGTTGTTTTCCTTTTTCACGCCCACACCTTTTAGCGGCATTTATGATCTTGTGCTCCACAGAGCAGCGATTCATTTGCAGTGACAAAAAGTGAAGACTCGACAAATCACACGACAAAGTTTAATTAGTGCACGGTCACTAATAAACATTTCGTTGCTGGGACAATGATTTGTGGGTGTTAATCAAACTCCCGCATACAATGGACACAAACTGTCTCCGAGGGGAGACTAGACTCCACTCCAGTCTGATCGATCTGAACTTGAAACTGAAATCAAGAGAAATACCAAAACAATAACCGGATAAGGTTTGGGGAATTCTTTTGAAATTCGAATGCAAATTTTAAGCGGAGTGGCGGTTGGGTCTTTGATTTATGGATTGGCTTGGCGTCTCCTTTTGTGCATACTTGACGCAGTTTTAACATAATTTATTATATTAACTACGTTATAAATTAATATACAAATAAACATTTAATTAAGTGAATAAATATGTAAGCATGAGCAAAAGCAGTCGCCGAATTATTTTAATTGAGTAAACTTCACGCATTGCTGGCTGTTTATGCAGACAACATTTATGGTCTACAATTATGCATTTAAATGTCAGATTTCTTTGCTTTATCCGCCTTCGGGAAACAGTTTCCGCCTTAAGCATCGTTGAATGATTTCTCAGAACCTATAAATGAGTCAGAGCACTTCCACTGATAAGCGAAGTTAATCGATTAAAATAAGAACCAAAAAGTGCATAAAATCAGCTTGGAACTAAAGTAAACATAATGGAATTGGCCATAAATATTTAAGGCTGCTAACTTGATCAAATGAAATCCATTTTAGCTCTGATTAAAGCTGCAAAAAGACTCTTCCACTCTCCGTCAAAGCAACGCCCCTCTCTACATCGAATTTCTTTTCAACGATTGATTTATGGCACTTACTTTCCGTTTTATATGCACCATCCAATTAATACATAGTAGAGGAGTAGGAGGAGACATATTTTTCTGGATAAATTTACTGCTAGTCCAGAGTCAACTATGTATGAAGATCTCTCTTCTCTTCTATTCTCTTTTATTCTCTTCTCGCTCGCTGAGGGTGAGAAGATCGATATGTAAAAGTCAAATAAAAGTATAACGTTCAAGAATTAACATTTTTTCACAGCAATAAATGCATAAAAGTCAAAGATGTGTACACAAAAGATGGGAACAGTGAGGCGTAACCGGAGAGAGAGACTCTGGATAGGCAGCTTGATTGGACCCTGGCTGTATCGATCGTACATCCATATGTGTGCCTGACTTATATGGCATTCAATTTATAATCTTTTGCAGCACATTCGCCGCTGGATGCTGCACATCGTCCAGCATTGTCCAACGCTAATAGAGACATACAACGGCCAATCTGGGAATTGATCGGGCCCAGTCCCCGGGGTCGGGGGCTTCGTTAACAGCGGAAAAAAAACTTTGAAAAATGTTTCGAACGTTTCGTTAGGTTTCGTCCGGGTGTCATAAACTTTTATTGGACCGAAGACGAGGACAATGGGGACGGGACGGAGCCAGCTGTAAGCAGAAGTCAAGATGATTGGGCATTATGCGCTGCACAGACCCAAAACTGAGTCCAGGCTGGGACTCTTTCTTTTTAATGTCCATAGGGGTCGGATCGCTGCTGCTTTCAACGATCCTCTGACTCCGTCTCCCGTCTGCTGCTGCTGCTGCTGCTCTTTCTCCGCCCATGGGTGCCAATTAAGATACGAAGAAGCGATGCGGGACGGGGGGGGAGAGACGGATGCGAGATTGTGCTCTGCTCGGGATCCTATTAAGCAGCCATATTGGTGCGCACACTGAGAGAAAAATAGAGGGAATAATTTGTGGACCTACATTTTGAATGTATTTTAAATAAAATTATCATTTTTTGTATGGTTTTAAAAACTTTATACCAAAAATTAAATGAAATCTGAACTGAAACATTTTAATAGATTAAAAAAGTGTTTCGTTTATTTATTTAATTAATTTTTTTTTAAATCAAATCACTATTTTATTTATAGTTCACTTCAACACCAAAAATGTTCCCTGCGCACCAAAACTTTCCCCTTTTTCTCTTCGTGTAATCCACGCCATAAAAGCCGATTTCCCGTTCGTGAGTGATCCGAGTAAGATCACTCCGTACATTTTATAACCCCCCCACATACGTCCGCTGTTCTTGATGCTCCTTGCCTGGCACCGTCCAATGGCCAACGGCTTTCATGTGAAACCAGATACAGATACAGTCCGCACCATAAATCACTTGTGAGTGAGTGAGAGGCTGGCTGCCTGCCCAATTCAACGACATTGCCTGGCCTGCTGCTTTTTATCCATTTTTGAGAATGTCGTGGCTGAGTCCAAAATGGCGGACGGGACACTAAACGCAGGAGAAGAACATAAGCTGTGAATTCAGCGTAATTTTGGCACAACACTGGGTAATGCAGTAGCTGGAAACGGGGAGTGCGGGAGTGCTGGAGTGCAGGGGACATCAAACAGTCTGCGGCAAAAGTCAAACAATTTCGTTACGGCAGAGTGACCAAAGGCCAGCGACCAAGACGCAGCAGCAGCAGCAGCAGCAGCACCGTGGAACGGGTTGAATTCTGCCCAAGCAGTGGCGGGGGGATGGAGAGATATTTCGGCATGTGCATTTGGCGTAACAAACAAATGCAAACACACACTCCGGGCACTCCGTGCGATCCACTGCAGTCCCAATTTCAGTTCCCAATTTCTTGTGTTTTTTGTTTTTAGCGTGTAGGTGCGAAAAGAAACCGTTTTGCCGTCCTCCTCCACTTCCTTTATCTGCATCTGTATCGCTTGGTGTTTTCTGTGTCCATTTCTGGTTACTTGGCCCTGGGTTTTTGCATCGCTCTTACATAAAAAGAGTCAAAATATTGTCGGTGCCATGTGTACAAACACAAAGCAAAGCGAAAAAAAAAACCCATTCCATTGCGCAGCGTTTGCTGACAAAAGTTTTTAATCTTAAAACGTTTTTGGCCCACGTCTCGATTCGGTTTGTGTTTCGTTGCACGGGTATCAAAATCTGGACAGGTTGTATATTTAACATTCGGCTTTGACATTTCCGATTTTGCTAATCGTGGTGTGCACTATAAATCAACTTCTCGAGAGCCTCCGGCTGGGTACAACCAATGGAAGAGAACACTACACTCCTCCCATCCTCTGCCTATCGGTGTTGTCGTCTAGCACTTCAGATCGTCGTCGTCTTCGTCTTGTTTGTTGTGACGGTGGTTCGATGGGGCGCCAATTGAATGGGTTTCAGTTATTTCATTACATTCATTCAAATTTGCTTTATTTAAGTGCAAACATTTATAATTTAT